GGCCCTGTTTTTGTTGTTTGCAACACTGTCTGGATATATTTTACAAACTACAAGAATACAGCATGGCTTTCTGAAATTACAGCTTCCCAAGTCTTCTGAGGAACTTTAAAGTTATGTACTAGCAATATTCTATCTTCTGTGACTTAAAAGTGCATACACATTCAAAGGTTTTACACATTTCCCAGACATTTTTCAACATACACAAATTACAACAGGTGTTTTTTGTTCTGAAAGGGAAAAAGGTAGGTATGAATTCACAATTTTAAGAAGTGTTGCATGGAAAGTGTGCTACATTTTTTCTTCTGGGAAATCAAACCAAGAGGATCTGTTGACAAGTCTCTTTGGCAGTGTTAGTATCAATGGTTGTCTCTCTGGACGCTCTAAGAAGGACATCCTGGGGGAAGGCAGTTGACTGGAAAGCGCTGCTGGTGCTTCTTGAACGTAGCTGGTTACAGTTTCTGTGTGAGGGATGTTACTGCTGGTATCCGCTGTGGTAAGACTCTGATCAGCTGCTGTTTCTTGAAGTTTGACATCAGCATTTCTAATGTCACCATCTAAGTCTCCACTTCTGATAGGAATATCGTGCTTTTTGGCTGCTCCTCCAGTTTCCTCACCCACTCTGTAAACATCTTCACATTCTGTCCTTCCCAGAAAAGAAGACGGAGACTCATTTTGCCTCTCATTTATCTGAGTTGTGCCTGTCCAATTAATACTGCTGTCACATTCGGTATTTTCTGGCTCCTTGCTGTCATCACTATCAATTGTAATCACCACTGGAGAAGAATGTGATGAGTTACTCACGTGGTGTTTCCGGTGTTTCTTCTTATGCTTTTTCTTCTTCTTTTTAAGATGCCTTGTTGTATCTGTCGCTTTTCCTTCATAGACTATCTCCACACTTGGACTCCTCATCTTTTTCTTCCTTTTCTTACGCTTTGTCTCACTGCTTGCTCGATTGTCTGAAAGGCTATCTTCATTTTTGTAGCAGTCACTAAGTTTTGAGAATGTTTTCTTGGGGTCATTTTCTCTTTCTAAACTTGTGCTCTCCATGAATGCATTCTCCAAGTGGCGAGTTTTATACTTCCTTTTCCCACCTGGCTTTTCACTTTTCATTCTGTCTGTTCCTCCAGAAGGGGTCCTTGACCTGTCGCTTGATCGACTCCTTGACCTGCATCTTTCATAACAGTAATAGTGTCTCTCACGGCCTCCCCTCTGGCTATGTGGATCTGTCCTTTCAACAAAAGATCGTATCCTGTATTCTGGACTAGCAGATTGCCTTGAGTAGAAGGACTGAGTCCTCCTCCTGCTGGAGGATTCATAGCTGTCTCCAAATGCCTTTCGACTACAGAAAGCATAACCCCACTGGTATCTACTCTGATAACTGTCTCTTACATAATAACGATCCCCATCTCTGCTTCTTGATCTCCTTTTGCTGTGGCCTTTGCTACGTGATCGTGATCTGCTTACTTCTCTGGATGGAGTGCTGTCACGACTTAAAGAGCCTCTCTGGCTTTTCAGAGCGACTTTGGAGCCATGAGCCCTCGACCTCTTGCTACTTCTTTTGCTCCTATGTTTGCTACTATCTCTGCTTCTTGATCGTTTTCTTTTAGATTGGCTTTTGCTACGACGCTCCTTCCTCGACCGATGGCCATGACTGCCTCGACTGCTCCGTGAACAGGACTGTGGGCTCCTCGACTTTCCCTTTTTAGACAATCTGTGATTCCAAGGGGAGCATATAGTATCACTCCCTGGGGAGGGGCTCCAGCTTAAGTGCCGTGGAGACAGATCTTTTACCTTACATTTGTTCTTCTCATCATCTTTTGACTCTGTCTTCTCAACTGCAGGAGACAAGCAGCTTCTACAACTACCCACATCCTCCTTGTATGCAGGGGAATGTGGCGAGAAACTCCTGCTTGATTCACTGTCACTCCAGCTGCGACACTGGATTGGCTCCTCTTTCTTCACGTCTTCCTTTTTCTCTTCCCTGATGGACTCCTCAGAGTCCGATGACAGCTCAACCACTTCTGGTGTCCTCTCAGCCAATGGCTTAACATACCCAACAATAACACAATTGTCCGAGGAAGAGTCACTGCCATTTGAGTCAGCATTATCCCCTAACTGAGTTTGTGGTTTGGTTCTCTGACTCTTTGTAGCAGACTCCTCATCAGAACTTTCTGACATCTCCAGAGGAGAAGCTATTGTTGCACGGACCTCTTCTGAAACCGAATAGGAAGGCCCCGGAGTTTCATCATCCCAGGGAGCCTGATCAAGACCAGTCACAGACACACTGTTATCTGGCCCTTGAGAATATGCCACATCTGGAGATATTGTAATAATTGACGAGTCTGACTGGCTTCCTTCATCGTACGATGGTGCAGGACAGTCATAATTGGCATGTTGATCATACGCTTCTAAGTTAAAAGGACAACGGGCAAAACTGATGAATTCATGTAAGAAGTGTTCGGTCCGATTCAGCAAAAATGGCTTCAAATCGTCAGCAAAGGCCTGACTTTCCAGATCATACCTCGTCACGTTACTCATGATAATGTGCTGCACAATATTAACCAAAGAGCCGTGGGCACCAAAGAGGACCGTAAGTTCTCGCTTCAACCAAGGAACCAACCTGTGCAGGCAAGCAGGGTTGCGGCGGAAAAACTCTGCTGAAATGTCTCGATAGCGGCCGCCGTCCTGAATGCTCCGAATACGCACGCCAGTACGGTACAGAGCTCTGCGGAAGTTGATCATGTCCTCCTCCTGGATCTGCCGCAGAGACCTGCCCTCCGCGCTGGCCTGCCTCCTGGAAGCCAGCCTCCTTAACATCTGCTGAATCTCGCCGTCCCGCTGCCGCACCGGTTCGCTCGACAGCCCTTCGAACAATATCCCGTTATCCGGCGGGGACAGCGTCCTTCGGGAAGGGTAACTGCTAGAGCGGCGTTCCCCTGTTAACGTCGTACGGTAACGAAACCTCCGGCCATCCGGGCTGGAAAATGAGCTGTTTTCTAAAGGGCTGAGTACGTACTCCTTAAAGTCATCTTCAGCACGAATTGTATGGAAAATGGAAAAAAAAGGTTGCTTGCAGAGAGGACATTCTGCTTTGTTTTTTGACCACTCCTGGACACAGCGGAAACAGAACCTATGCAAGCAGCGATCTAGATATGCAACATTGTCAAATCTATCCAAGCAGATGGGGCATTTAGAGTCAGGAGACGCATCTGTTGGCAGCTTGCTGGTGCTGGCTTTTGGCGAAAAATTGCTCTCTTCTGAAAACTCCTTATCTGCTGAAGTCATGTTCTACAAAAGAAAGAGAGAAAACATCATTGCTATCTCAGAGAGACAAAAATATTAAAATCTAGACACAGAAACCTGTTACAGTCACCTTTAAGGTCGCAAAGCCCAGCATTAGCACTGAGAGAACACCCAACAAAGTGGCAGCGGGACCCAGAGACTTTTCTTGGCCTCTCCTCACCATGAGGACTTGTTTTTCAGTGTTGCAAGTTTTAAACAGAGGTTAAATCTTGCTGGCCTGTATGAAGGTAACAGGCAGGACTGTCTTTTTCCCCACTCATAAATAACTGCTTTGACATGGCCAGCAAGTTTATGATTAACATGATATCCTCCGAAACACACTTCCAAAAGAGACCAGTGTTTACACATGAAAAATATGACAACAGTTGGTTCTGTCCTCTAAGAAAAAAAGTCAAAACAAGTGGTTGCACTCAAACTAAACCACCAGTTTCCAAATTCTGCTGTGCCTGCCCATATTTTGCCGGGCATTCACACTGAACCGCACAGGGCTTGCCGGACAAGACAACCTCCAGGCAAACGTTCAAGCTTAAATTAATCTTTGATTTTAAGACTAAAACAGAAACAGCCCGGTGTCATTCCTACACCCATTCCCAGGTACCCGCTGCCTTTGTATCTAGTCAGGCTGTTGTCCCGGTTTGAGGTAAAGCAGAAAAAGTTTTCTTTCCAGTAGTCTTACTTTCCAGTTAAGCTAACTTTCTCAAATTAACAGCATATTTTTCCCCACAGTATCAGCTTCCAGCAGATAAGGCCTGATGTTTATAGCTCATATGAAGGCGGAGAGGCTCCTACTTATACTTATTGCTACAGCCACCAAGGTCAGATAACTGTTATGCACCAAGCAGGAGGGTCAGAAGCAGAAACCGGTAGAGGGGCTGCACCTGCGGAGGGGGGGGGGGGGGAAGCGGGCAGGGCAGGGGACCCAAGGGGCGCGGCAGGCAATAAACCCGTCTATTTTTAAAGTCAATTAAGGTACCAGCATTACCCTAAGGCAACAGGCTGCCTCAAAACTCACGGAGCGGGGGGGGGGGGGGGGGGGGCGAAGCGGGCAGGACAGGGGACCCAAGGGGCGCGGCAGGCAATAAACCCGTCTATTTTTAAAGTCAATTAAGGTACCAGCATTACCCTAAGGCAACAGGCTGCCTCAAAACTCACGGAGCGGCTCGTAACGGCGAGGGGCTGGGCACACACCCGGCGACACACACCCGGCGACACACACCCGGCGACACAC